CGGGGACCCGGAGGACGAGCTCAGCCGCACAGTCTGCGCGCGCAGCAGGGAGCTCCGGCGACCCCAGACCGCTGACTTCCGAGACGCGGGCCCCACGTGGGAGGGCGGGCGAAAGGGAGGATCCGAGGCCGGAAAGCGAGGTCTCTGAGAGGTCGCCCTCGACCTTCGCTGTCGGCGTCGCCCCAGGCCTCGCCCCGGGCGGGGGTCTCTCCACTGTCCCTTCCAACGCGGAGTCTGAGCTTAGGCGGCCTCGCGCAGGACGCGGACAGGAGAGTCAGTGGAGTCGATGGTCCTGGGAAACGTCCGCGGGCGGCAGGGATGGCAGGAGCGAGCCCTCTCTTCTGGCACTCCGCGCGAGTGGTTGGCACCGGCCGACAGGGAGCTCTCTCCTCACCGTCTGAGGAGGGCTCCAATCAGTCACCAGCCGGCCGCGCCCCATGAAGCGTCCTCGGGACAGCCAGGAGCCTCGCCTTGAAAGGGGAAACAGGCCCAGAACCTGGAAGGGATGAGCAAGGTCACACTGCGTCAGAAACGGGCTCGGACTGAAGGCGAGGTGGGGCCAGGGGTTACCGGCTTGTCCCAGGGTCATGCCGACATCCTCCTGGGGCTTCTAGGGAAGACTTCGACACGTAGCCTGGCACGTTGCAAGAGCACGGTAACAGGGACGCTGCTGTCAGCACACCTGGGCTCCGATTTTGATCCCTCACAGTCTCCATGCCTCCAGGGCCCTTTATCGGAGTAGGTTGCCAGAGTCTTCTTGGACTGGAAGGCCTTCTGTTTGCAGAGAGCCCTTCCCCGGTCTGGGAAAGGAGGGAGGGAGGAGGAGAACGTCTGGTTTGCCGCCCAGATCTGGCAGGGTAACCAAAACGAGGACTACAGCCTCCCTTTTTTTGTTTTTTTTTGCTCATTGCCCAGACCTGTGGCCCCTCTCCTGTTGTGCGAGCTGGCTTCAGACTGGAGCCTGAGTCCTGAGGTTCAAGAAGCAGATAAACAGGCCAAAGAGCCCACCTCTTGGAAGATTTTGCACAACTGTGTTTGCTTCTCCAGGCCCTGAACTAAGAGGCCAAGGAACATTTCTACCTCTTTTCGTAGCCTCCGGTCTGACTCCTCCTCTTAGGCTGGCTTCCCAACCCCCTGGAACCTGTTTCTTTACCCGTAATAAGACTGTATGTCCTGCTGTGTGCCAGGACAGCTCTGAATTATGCCTATTAATTCCGTGAAATTATTAATAGAGCTTCCCTTTACTTTCAAAAGTATCTTTTGAATGATATATTACGGTCATTATCTTATTTGGCTTAGGTTTCATACCCCCACTCTCACCCCAAATAATAAAGCCAAGCCTGAGACAAGAACTTATGCAAGGTAGTTTATTCTGAGTAGTGATCCCAGAAAACAAATGAGGGACCAGGGAGCGTGAACAAGGAAGAAGGTAAAGCCAACAGAAGACTGTGAAATTGAGCTGGTCATTGGCAATGACCTAGATCAGTAACAGTGCTGTGCGGAGCCCTATTGTGGCCAAAGAAAAAATTAGTAATACTGATTCTCTCTTTATTTAAAAATTTGATATTGTGTTCATCATTGATTTTTGCATTAATTTTGATTTTTTAAAATATTGTATTAAGGGCCAACCCCGTGGCGCACTCGGGAGAGTGCGGCGCTGGGAGCGCAACGCTGCTCCCGCTGCGGGTTCGGATCCTATATAGGAATGGCCGGTGCGCTCACTGGCTGAGCGCGGTGTGGGTGACACCACACCAAGGGTTGTGATCCCCTTACCAGTCACGAAAAAAAAAAAAAAGTATTGGATTAAAATATTGTTTAATTACTAAACTTATTGGCGCCCTCTGAAATTTTGCTACAGAGGCAAGTACCTTGTCTTTTTTTGCTTGTCTCAGCCTTGTCCCAGTCACCCTCATTGCTATGGGTGACTGGGGTTCATTCCCACTGGGGCCTTCTAAAGAGCCATATAGAATGAGGGGACATTTGTTTCCTAGTTCTATCTCCACTGGTCAATTCCCCCGTACTTGCAGATTGCACATAGTGAAAGGTGAACAGGTACCACTCAACTAAGCTATTTCCATTGCTCACAAGTATATGTAAATCCAGACCTAGAACTGTTTTGCCCTCCATACAAATTGAAAGAACAAGTGCACTGCTTAAAGCTTGGCTCGGGAGGATTTCCCTTCACCATTATTTAGGGCCACCTCCTAAATGGAGCTGTGTTTCAGTAACAATCCGTTTTTTGACTAGTATTGACATATCAAGCTGACCCACCTGTGAGTCACGGCTGAGTATATTTTTCCTCCATCAGTTGGTTACAAAGAACCACTCCATGAGGCTATCAGTTGGAGCTGAGGCAGAAGTGTTGGTGTAGCTGAGGTAGGCGGCATTCGAGTCTGAACCACCTATTATGACCTGCTTAGTCCTGTTTCTGAATCTACTATTTGTATTATATGGTGTATTGCTGATGAGTCTGCCTAATCTTATTACTTGATAGCATCTGACAGTACCCAGCTCATACTGGGCATCTTTAGTTGCATAGACTTTGATGTCCCCTTGCCATGCTGTCAGTTTTTACTGGGGCTAAACAGCTGCTCTTCAAAAGTCAGATGGCTCTCTGCTGCAGAGGCATGGCTTTGCCTCAGAACCCTAGAGATATGCCCTGAAACTTTTATTAGGGCTTGTCAGAGATACTACCTAGCATCTTTATTCACCATGAATGCCTTTAGCACCATTGAATCCACTGGAATGGCAGGGAAGCTTGTACTATAATTGGGCACACTGTAGAGCTCTCTCTTGGTCTGGGATTCGCTTGAAACTGGGAGCCTTCCGAAGCACCCAAAAGATAGGTCAGAGTAGTAATCCACCAAGCACTGTGTCTTAGTGCTGGAGGATACAGGGCACAACAACTTGCCTTTACAGGGGATAACCTGGTATGCTCAAGACTACTGGATCCCTGAGAACTTCACCAATTTGTTTAAAAATAATATGGGATGGAAGAAGTGAGTAGAAGTGTAGTTAAAATAAGATTGGCCATGATGGTGGTTCTAGGGGTTCATTTTACTAGTTTGTCTACTTTTATATACACTTAACTTATCCTAGAACAAAATGGTAAGAAGACAATTTCACAATATGGAAGGCCCCAAGAGATTTTATCTCCCATCCTCTGGCATGCATGTGTCTTACTTCAGAGATTTTATCTCCCATCCTCTGGCATGCATGTGTCTTACTAGGACATCTAGAGTACTTGCTTATTCCTGCTCACAAGGTCAAATTAGCATTATGTCATCAATACAGTGAACTTCCTTGATGTCCTATGGAATGTCAAGACAAAGTCACTAATTACAGTACCTTATTGTGACAGAGAGCAAGAGAATTAACATAGCCCAGGGGCAAGAGAGTGAATATATACAGCTATTATTCCCACATAAAAGAAAACAGTTTTTGATCCTCTTTACTGAAGGATATTGAGAAGAAAATCTTTGATGTTGGTGTTGATCTCTGCAATTCCACACAGGATGGGGTTTTACTTCTGATTTAGTAAATTGGTCAAAAAGGTAGGGGTAAGTATCAGCAGCTTCCAGTTGGCCCTACCAACCAAAATAGCTCCATTAATAGGGCAGGGAATAAATGTTAGAGTCCTGCCAGCTGCTAAGTGTATCTATCCAGTTATTCACTTGGGGACCAGGGAAATTCTACAAGGTAGATCTTCAAACTCATTGGACCTGTTTGTAGGGGTCCTTATCTGTGTTTGAAAGGTGAGTGCCCCAGTTCTAGAATCCNAAGCCAAGGGTTGCAATCCCCTTACTGGTCACAAAAAAGACAATAAAAAAAAAAAAAAGAGGTGATTAGATCACAAAAACTGTGTCCTCAGGAATGGACTGATCCATTCATGGAGTAATGGGTTGATGGTTGAGTGGATTGTTATGGGTCTACACTGGTGGCTTTATAAGAAGATCACATGGAAGAGCTCTTGCCATTCTCACTTTGTGATACCCTGCATTGCTATGGGACTCTGTAAGTATACTCTCCCATACTTCCAGGTTGCACATGTGTGAGTTCCAAGTGAGGTCTGGGTTGGAGATATACATTTGGGAGTGGTTGTAACTGCAGAGTTCTCGAGGCCATGGGCATGGACGAGGTTACCAGGGAGCAGAGCCAGTCAAAGCTCCTGGTGCAAGCAGGCTCACAGAACTGATGGGAAAGCTGGACATTTGGAAGGGATAATCAGAAATCTGCTGTGGAGGTGGCTCTGTAGGAGAGGAGCTGCCCCTTGGCTGGGCCAGGGTGGCCCCTGATCCCTGTCCTCCCAGACCAAATCCAGTGGGGCTGAGGTGAGAGCACAAAAGGAGGGTAGGGACAGTTTGGAAAGGATCTAGCTATTAGGCAGCCCCCAAACCCCACACCACTCTAGAGAATGAGCATCTGGAGAAGAATGGAGGAGCTAGGCCAGAGCCTGGAGGAGGCTGGTGCCTCAGGGGCAGGCAGGAGAGTGGGCAAAAACACTGACTGAGAAGGCATGCATGATGTAGGAGGACCAGAGGGGTAAGAGATTGCACCCAGCTAGAAATCTCTCCCTGGGAGATGAGGCAGGCTCCAGAAATCACAGAAAGAGAGCCCTAGAGGCTAGGAGGGAACCACTCCAGGCTGTCTCTTAGCAGCTCCAGGAACCACTGAGGAGTCATTGAGCAGCTGGGATAGCCAATTTAGCAGGCATCATGACCCAACCCCAGGAGTAAGTCAAGCAGGTCTGGGGGTAGGTCATGCATGTTAGCGTTGGTGATCAGGTGCTGTGGGCACCAGCCTTATCCACACTCAGACCCAAAGCTTCAGTGATTATCTTGACTCAGCCCAGCTTCCACCGTTCCATGGCCCATGGAAGATTGGGAGCCAAGCCCTGTGCGAGCAGTCAGTGAGTCTGAGCCTGCACTCTGGGCCATTTGGAGACCTTGCCAAGCAGAGGCAGGTAAGCACCCTTCAGAAGTGGCCTGGTCAGAGTCACCAGACCATTGGAAGGGCAGGCAATGCTTTAAGGGAAGATGGGTACATGCAGTTTCCTTGGTTGACCTTGCCATTGAGATTAACTAGTGAGCACTGACCTTGGTAAGTTTCTCAACCTTTCTGAGTTCATCCATAAAATGGTGTAATAACCATATTTCCTTTCAGATTGATATGAGAATTAAAGAATAAAAATATCAGTTACTAAGGGCTTGGAGATGAACGCTTGGGACATATTAGCTCCCATCATAGTTCTTATCCGTCTCCCTTCCCTTACTCTGTGTCTGTGGCTGTGCTCCAGCTTCGCTTGAAAATGTGCCTACAGGCCAAGGACTCCTAGAGAACAGCTGAGTGTCCTCCCACTGCTGTCATCATTGGTAAAGAAGCTGGTGTGTGGTGCAGTGCCTCAGTCTCTGAGTGTGGCTCACTGGGTCTGACAGGGGAGACAAACCCGTTCACGGGCTGGTTAGTGAGGTTTCTGAGCCCGCATGGCTGAGGCCAACCCCACACCCTGCAAGAACCAGAAGGCCTCTGGCAGCCTCTGCTGGGATTTCTAGTCTTTGCCTTCCAGCCACAAATAGATCCATGTCAGACAGTAGCAAAGATGAGGTTTAGTTTCTGTGGGGACCCAAATAGAGTTTCCCACTTGTGGTAGAGGGGGCACAGGAGGACAGTCCTTGCTTATTTGAGAGACCCCTTTATTGCTCTCAAACCTTTTTAGAGGTTCTACCTCCATTTGGAGATGGAAAAACAGATTATTGTGTGGAAAAATGGTAAACCAGAAAGTTACCCAGAATTGTGAAAAGCAAGTCACGGGTTGGCCTGGGATGCAAAGACAAGAAGCTGTCACCCTGGGTAAGAATAAGCTGTCCAGAACAGCACTGGAGTGCACCTAAGCTGGGAAGGGGGACCCAGGAGCAGAAGGGAGGCAGGGCACTCCCTGGGTGGGGCAGAGGCACTCTCAGGGCCCACAGCCCCGGCTTCTGGGCATCATGGTGCAGGTCACAACACCCCCACCCCCCAACTCAGCTGTTCATGAGCTGTGAGCCCAGGGCTAAGCTAGTGTGCCCCTTGGAGGGGCTGGGTCCTTGGCTGAAAAGGGAGGGCTGGCATGAAGCAGCATCTGGGCTCCTCCTGTCCTCACCCCTTTCTTTGGTTCTCCGGGAGGAAGGCAGACAATAACAAAGCTTGTCACTCAGAGAACCAGAAGGAAGGACTCAGTTTTTATTTTGATCTCCTTGGAGAGTCGAAGAAGTCTGCAAGAGTCTCGAGGAGAGTTTAATGAAGCTGAACTTACAGATCAGCACAACTGGAGTTATGGAGCATGAGGCAGGACTGTCAGCAGAGGTCAGCAAAGGCTGTGCCTCATGAGCTGGAATTTGGAGTTTAGACTTTGTCCCAAGAGCAGTGAGGAGACATGGAGGCTTTACTAGACAGGAGTGACATAGAATTGTATTTTAAAAGCCTCCCTTTTCCTGTGGAGAGGGAACTGAGGGGCCAGACAGGAGACAGGGAGGCCAGGCAGGAGATGGTGAGGGCCTGGGCTGGGGCTGGAGCTCCAGAGGCAGAGGCAAGTGGATTAGTTGGGAATGAGTTAGGGATGAGTGCAGTCATGCCTGCTAACTGTCTTCCTGCTTTCACCTTTGCCCCTTACGGCCTATTCTCCATATAGCAGCCAAAGGGATCCTGGTTAAAACATAAATCCAGGTCACGCCCTTCCTCTGGTTTCCCATCTCAGAGTAGAAGCCAAAGTCCTTACCATGCTTTGCAACGGTCAACATGGTCATCCTTCCTGCCCCCACATCTCTCTGATCTCATCTGCTGCTAGCCACCTCACGTACACCACTCCAGCCACTTCTTAATGTTCTTGGAACACAGCAAGCACATGCCTTCTCCCTCTGCTCTGGCCAGGGCCTTTGCATTTGCTGTTCCCTTTGCCTGGAATGCAATTGCCCTAGATAACCACACAGATGCTCCCTGTATTAGTCAGTTTTCTGTCGCTTATGACAGAATACCTGAAAGTGGATAATTTATAAAGAAATAAAATTTATTTCTTCCAGTTTTGGAGCTGGGAAGTCCAAGGTCCAAGGGGAGAATCTGGTGAGGGCCTTCTTCCTGGTGGGAACTCTCTGCAGAGTCCCATGGCAATGTAGGGTATCACATGGCGAGACGTGTTAACGTGCTTGCTTGCTCTTTATTAAGCCATTAGTGCCACTCTGGTGATAATCTGCTCATCCGTCAACTCATTAATCCCATTAGCTATTTCTTCTGCCAAATATTCTAATTCAAAGCTCTTAAATTCTGCTTCCATAAAGCCCTCGATTGAGCATAAACCCAATCCATGATAACCCACACATCCATTAACTAATACACTCCCTCACCATCTGAAGTCTCTACTCACATATTGCCTTATCTGTGAGATCTTTCCAGATTCCTCATATAAATGGATCCCTTGTTCTCTACTGTAATTCCCTTTTTATTTTCTTGATAGCACTACCTATAGTCTGTACTTATTTTATATGTTTGTTTAAGATATTTTCCCAGTGTTTATCACAATGACTGGCACATAGTAGGTTCTAAGTAAATATTAGTTGAATGAATGAGTTGAGGTTGAAGATGCAGGAAGGAGTCAGTAACTCAAAGAGTTACTTCCCCTTGAGGGCTTAGGCAGGATGCTTGCTGAAACCTGAAGTGGAAGGTGAAGAGGAAGGCGGTGGGAGGCAGGGAGGTTCAGTGTGTGTGTATGTGTGTGTGTGTATGTGTCTGTTGTGCATATGCTCGTGAGGGTAGGTGCTGGCTTCTGGGCCCCTGTACCTCCCAGTGCCTGGAGTCTGGGCAGGACAGTGGAAGGCCTGGGCCAGGCTCTGACCAGGGAGATAACAGGTTGTGCCAAAGGCACCGGGTAGGGATGGAAGGGGTGGGGTGGAAGGCTTGTGGATGGGAACTACTGAGTGAGTGGGGATGGGAGGCCCAAGACTTTGCTTTAGGGAGGGAACAGTGGAACTGGGCCTTGAAGTATGAGTAGAAGTTTGCCAGATAAAGAAAGAAGGCATTTTGAGCATGAGAGAAAGTCTGAGGTAAAAAGGCAGGATTGCTCAGAGAAGAGTGAACTGTCTGCTGTAGCAGAGGAAGTGAGACAAAGTCAGCAGCCTGAGGTCAGAGAGGCATTAAATGCTAGGTCAGCAATGAGGGACTCCATCCTGAGGGCCCTGGAGAGGCTGAAGCAAGAGACTGAGAGATTCCTTCGGCTGCTCTGAAATGGGCCCTAGAAATGCTTAGGAGGCAGAGCCCTATACGTAGTGATGTGCAGGATGGCGGGAAGCGGGGGTGGTGGTGGTGGGGGTGGTGGGGGGGGGGAGATTGGGCCTTGAAGCCGGGAAAGGACAAATCAGGTTGGCAGCTCTGGGCACCGCTCCCCTCAGCTGCGTTCCTACCCACCCCCCACCAGGATGCGCAGGCGGGGGCTGGCCTGGTTGCTGCAGCCCTGCGGGGGTGGAGCCGTTGGTCTTCGGAGCGGGAGCCGAGGGAGCCAAGGCTGCTCAATTTGGGTGGTCAGTCCCTGCGGGGTAGGGGATGACTTCGTGTCCCGGGATTAAGGCGAGTTACCGGCTGCTGGTGGATCTGCAGCAGCGGCTGGGGGTGGGGAGCCTAGTCTCTGTGGATGAGTGTGGACAGGGGGTGGGGGCCTGTGCCTGTGGCTCACGGTATTTTTCCACCCGCTCCTGTGCCTAATGGCTTCCCTGGCTGTCGGCCTTCCACTCCGCTCCCGCCTTTGACCTGGTGGGGCAGGGACCAAATCTGAGGGCGAAACGCGGTGGGGAGCGAAGGGCAGACTTTTCCGCCGCGCCGCCTACTCGGGTGTGGCCGCGGGAAGAGTGAGGGAGTGCGCGCATGCGGTGTGTGCGCACGCGCAGGGGCTGGGGGGCCCGCGGCGGGGTACCCCCCCCTCCCGGCCAGGGCCTAAGACTCCAGCCCCGCTCTCCGCGCCTTACTTCTCTGGGGCACCTGTCCACTGCTCCTGTCTCAGAGAAGGAAGGGGCGGCGGAAGGAGCCTTTGGAAGCAATACCCAGAACAAATTTAACCAGGAACACAAGATCTATGAGAAGAAAGAAATGAAATTTTCGAGAAAACGTACACGACGCCTGAATAAATGCAGAGTAAAGACAGATCCCTGTCCTCTCCTGGAGGAAAGGACTCTATGCCAGTTCTCCCCAGGTGAGTTTCTAGTGCCAAGTGAGTTTCTAGTGAGTTTCAGGGCAACCCCAGTCAGGGTTCAAAAAGGTTTGTTTTCCAAAGCCTGACATAAGGGAGTCTAAATTTCTGACAATTGGAAATGTACAATAGCCTTGACATGTTTGTACAGGAACTTGACGAGGGGAGATTGGCTATTAAAGTCTAACACGGTAGTAATTAAAACAGTGCGATATTGTTTTAATATCACAATAGGAATAGGAAAATAGATCAGAGAAATAGAATCCAGTAACGAAGATTCTTACAAGAGTATGAAAAGTTCCCAATTATTAAGAAGCTAAACCTTAGAAAAATGAGTGAAGGGTTTAGGGTAATTGACACGAGAACTAGAGTGAGGACCACTGTGTTCCCTGGTGTTCCCTTAGCAGCACGCACCTGGCAAGCACACCAAACACGTTTGTTGAATAACTGAATGCGTCACTGGTAATCAGCAAATTGAAACAACTACATACCATGTTTTACTTACCAATTTGGCAAAGATTAGAAACAAATTAATAATGCGAATATCCTGTGTTGGCAAGAGTGTAAGGAAATGAGTGCTGTTGTGTGTTGATGTGGTAATCAGCAAATTGAAACAACTACATACCATGTTTTACTTACCAATTTGGCAAAGATTAAAAACAAATTAATAATGCGAATATCCTGTGTTGGCAAGAGTGTAAGGAAATGAGTGCTGTTGTGTGTTGATTGTGACAGTGTGAACTGATAACAGTCTTTTGTGGTTTGTGATAGCACAAAATTGAAAACAGCACAAATGTACAATACTAGGGGCTCACTAAATAAACAGGGATTAAATAAAACAAGTCAGTTTCTTGTCTGGAGAAAGCACACTAGGGGGTAGATCCACGTGTCCAGACACATCCTTGGGTGTGAACAGCCACAATTCACCAACTCTGACACCATTTATATCTTTAAAAAGTTTGAGTCTGTACCAGTGTGTGCAACCAAAGCATGAAAGGCCCAAGGCAGACCCAGCAGGCAGTAACAGTGGGACCTCTGAGGAGGGGTGGAATTTACTCCTGACTTTCGAGATAGGAAGGAGCATCTTGGAGGGGAAAGCGGCCCTGGGCAAGTGTTCTTTCTTTCTAAAACCTTCCTTCTCTTTCACGCTGGAAAATTAAGCACGCCTCCTGGTGGAGGGAAAGAAAAAGGGGACAAGAAAAGGGGTCAGAGGAGAATAAAGTGGGGGTGCCGGCCCAAAGAAACCCAGATGAGAGGATTCCAGGAACTGGATACTGCCCATGTGGTCCCTGTGATCTCCTCCCCCAGTCACTTTCTGCTGGGTGATGTCTCCCCTGGCTGCTAGGGGCCACCTCCCCTCGTGCTGATGATGGTCAGAAGGGACCTTTATTGTCTATGCTCAGCTTTGCACACACAGGTCCCCATCCCGGGGACCTCCTGCCTCCCTCATCTCTTATTTCTCAGGTGATACCTTCCCTGACCCCACCCAGGCCATACCCCTTGCTGTTAAATTGCAGTACCCCAGACCTCACCTTCCTATTAATACAGCTGCCCCTTGAAATTCAGGTTGGCCATCCACCTAGGCTGTGGCCCCCTTGAGGGCAGCATAGTGCCTGTCTTGCTCACTGTTGCACCCGGTGCCTAGGACATGCCTGGCACCTAAACAGATGTTAGAGCACTTGGGGGCCATGGCCTGTGCCAGAGGTGGCAGGCCAGGGCACTGAAAGGTTGGAGGCCAAGCAGAGGGCCTTTATTAATGAGGCAGACAGAAACACATATTTACACGGGCCGCGCGGGGACATTAAAAGAAGCAGGGGCAGGGATGGGAGGTCCCGGCTCAGACGAGTTCCACCTTGGAGTTGGGGTACACTGCCACCACGTCGTAGCCCTCGGGCGGCTTGACGCGAGCCTTGGCGTGGTTCTCGCAGTAGAGCCGCTCATCCAGAAAGAAGTAACCGCGCTGCTTGAGGTTCAGGCCGCAGTCGCTGCACATGAAGCACTCAGGGTGGTAGAGCTTGTCGCGTGCCTTGACGATGGTGCCCCTGATGGGGGAACGGGAAAGGACAGCGTCGTCGGGTGACTAATGGATGCGCGGGCCCATCCAGGGACCTAGGAGGTGGGCGGGGTGGGGCGGGTACTCACACGATCCCGTGGCCGCAGCGCGTGCACTCGGGCAGCCCCTGCAGGCCACTCAGCGGAGCGCCCAGCTTGCCGGCCGTGGGTTTGAGGTTCCGGGGGCCGCTGGGCCCGGGCCGCTCCCCTGAAACCCGGAGCGCAGGTGGCATGAGCCCCGCGCGGAGGTCAGAAATCCATTTCTTCGGGGTGTTGTGTCGGGCCCCGCTTCCAGAGCCATCGGCACCAAGACTAGGGAGGGGTTTGGCGGGCGTGGGGAGAGGGGCAGCGACAGAGCGGTGGAGTGGGAATCAGAACTCGCGGGCGCAGGGAGGGTGTGGGAACAGGCCGTGTAGACCGAGGAGGGGCAGATGGCTGGGAGGCTGGACATGGGGTCGCTAGGGGCATGGCAAGTTGCGGGGGCGGGGGCGGTTCCAGGCACCGCACCGCAGGGAGCAGGGAGGCAGATGAGGAAGGTGGAGGGAGTCTTACCGCCCTCACCGGCCTCCAGCATGCCCTGCAAGTAGCGGAAAGAGCCTGACTGCTTGGGCTCCGCGGCAGCTGGCTCGGCTGGCTCTCGTAGCATCCTGTACACCTCCGAGCCCAGGTCAACTCTGCAGTCCCGGCTCCACGGGAGGCCTCTGGCTGGGTCAGCGCTGGGAGGGAGAGAGAGATGGAGAGGGGACGGGGTTGCAGTTCCAGCCTTCACTCTGCCAGCTCTGAGGTCTGTCTGGTGAGGCTATTTATTTATTTACTTATTGGTAAGGCTTTATGAGTCAGAATGCAACCAGGTGAGAAGAAAGGATCAAGTGTCGGGGGTCAGGATGGGACTTGGTGAGATTTGAGGGATCAGGGATTAAGACAGGATCTGGGTGTGGCTTCAAAGGCCAAGTCTGGCCTCTGTACTACCTGGGGGGTGGAGACACGTGCAGGGTGCTCATATGGGCTGGCAGAGTGGCCTCATTGCTGCTGCCATTGTAAGGGACTGGAAGGCGAGGTGGATGCCCATACGAAGATCCCAGGCCTGATTTGCCATCTTCTGGCCCAATCCCGGTGGCTGAGGATCGCCTGCTGGTCACTGGACTGCCATCCTATGAGAGACAGGACTAAGGCACTGGGAGACCCTCTGGCCATTCCTTGTCCACCCCACCTCCACCCTGCTATGCCACTCCTTGGTGGATGCTGGCTGGCTACCTCTGCTCTGGTGCCCAGCCAGGAAAGAAGTCTGTGGGGGAAGACATGAGCCATAGGCCTGGTTCAGCCCCTGCAGAAATGAGAAATGCCTGTGGAAAGTCAGACACAAAAACCTGAGTGCCTGTGACTCAACCTGGGCTTGTGAGTACTGTGGTGGTTCTGACCACCAGCACTCATAAGGGATCATGTTGGGGTAGGCTCATTCCCAAAAGCCTTTTAAGGGCAGCATGGCTACAGCAGAATGTGTGGCTTCCTGACAGAGGTGGTCCCAGTGCAGAGACTTCTCCTCTGCCAGAACTGTCCATGCTGGGTACTGTGGGCCCATGGCTGGGAACACAAAAAGGTAACTCCTGTCCTTTAGCCAGAGAAAGGTCCTCAATTGCTGACATGAGGTTAGCCCCTTCTGGGCTTGCACCTGTGCCCCCATTTCCTGTGGCCTAGACCACATGGGTAGCCTTCTGTAGGCATACCAGATGAGGGGCAGAGGCTGGGCCAGGGCTCAAGGTTCCTTGCCTCACTTCCCCATAGCCAGCCTTGTGCCCATGCCTGAAACATTTGGGGAGAAGTGCCCTGAACATGTCCTCTCAGCCCATGAAGAGATGGAAGTATCTCTGAGAGTGTGGGTCTGAGTGGGGACTGGGTGTCTCTGTCCCTGCAGAGTCCAGAGCTGTGCTGCCGCCAGATTGCAGGCACACACAAGCACACCCACAGCAATGTAAACAGAGGTGTACACATTCTCACAAGTAAGTTTGAAAGCATACACAAGCACCAGCCAGTCCACCTGCACATACTTAATCACATATACATGTTTACATACACGGTCACGCTTAGCTTTATGATGGGGCTACATTCTGAGAAATGCATCATTACATGATTTCATCATTGTATGAAAATGTATTATGAAAGGGACCAGCAATGAATTTTCCTATTATCTACACTGGCTACAAGTTGCATGAGAGTGGGCCCTCTATTTACATTACTAAGTCTCTCCATGCCTCACTTTCCTCATCTGTTAAATGGGAATTATAATAATACCACCACCACCCAAAAAGAATACCACCCCCACAAAGTTATGAAAATTAAATTACAGGTAAGGATTGTGCCTGGCACTCAGCAAGCACCCAGTTAATGTTAGCTAACTGTTATTAACTATTATTTTGCTATGGGGATGGGTGGGAATCATTTAAAAATACAAGAATTCTAAAGTAGACAACAACCATCACTTGGGGTCAGACCTAATGTGTCAAATTCTAGGCTTTCTATCTTTTTTTTTTTTTTTTCCCTTTTTATCTTTTTTACTGACTGGCAATGGGATTGCAACCCTCGGTGTTGCTCCTGCACCGCGCTCAGCCAGTGAGCGGAACCAGTCTCCACATGGGATCCAAACCCTTGGCGGGAGAGCCACTGTGCTCCCAAGCAGCGCACTCTCCAGTGCGCCACCGGGCCGGCCCATAGGCTTTCTATCTTAAAGGTCTGAGCTACCTTTGGGAGGGTCACCCTGTGGGTAAGCTAGGCACTCCTCAACACACTCTGCAGTAGGTTTGTTTACACCAGCATCACCACAAACACATGAGTAATGCATTTTGCTAGGACCTTATGATGAAAGAAAAAAGAAAAAGAAAAAAAAAAAAAAGACCTTATGATGGCTACAGTGTCAGTAGGCGATAGGAATCTTTCAGCTTCTTTACAATCTTATGGGACCACTGTCATATATGTGGTCTGCCGTTGACCAAAACGTTGTTATGTGGTGCATGACTGTACTGTACTTGGAGCCACCACTAGTCACACTGGGGATGGCCATGGTGGCTCCAAGGCTGAGACTGGGCTGGCGGCCAGAGCAGCCTGACTTTAGGGTGAGGCCTGAGTCCAGGCCATGTGATGGGTCTCAGCCTCAAGCTGGGAGGCAACATGCAAATCTCCTCTCTGTTCTAAGGTGTGAACAGGGAGACTGGGTGGGGAGAAAAGGATGCCTACCCTTGTGGGAAAGAGCCAGGCTTGGACTCAGGCAGTCTGTAGCACTGGGACACAGTCATACCTGCAGGGCCCTGCCCTGACTGCCCCTGCTTTCTGCAGGTGGAAGCTTGGAGAATGGGCAGGCCAGCAGACAAGTGGGCCCCCTCATTTCCCCTACCCCAACAGACAAAGGGGAGGGTCTTGCTGCGCAGGTGGGCCCCTATGAAGGCAGCAGCAGCAGGAAGAACCCCTCAGCCCAACAAAAGCCCCTGAGAAACCTGAGCACTCTCACACATGTGTCTGTCGGGCAGGCAGGCAAGCAGGGCTGGCTTCTAATGGAGACCATATGGGCTGTGGTCGGTGGAGGTGGGGCTGGGCCTCTAGGAGGAGGCTTCAGTGGGAAGGGGGAGTGAGAGTCAGAGGACCGGGGACTGGGAGGAAGGAGACCCTCATTCATGCTCACCCAGCAGGATGTGGGAATCTACTGTAGGGTCATCAGAGCTATCCCATGGCCACCCATTCAGTAGCCTCTCTAGGTCTGAACTTAGTGGTTAGGACACACGTGGTGATGTCAGTTTTGGTTCAGGTTCTAGCTCTATCATTCACTAACTGGGCAAGTTATTTCACCTCTCTGAACCTCAGTTTCTTCATCTGTGAACTGGGAACGTGATGGTCTCTATATCGTAAGTTCCTTGTGGGGATGAAATAAGACAATTGCTTACAAGGTGCTTAGCATAGTGCCTGGCACACAGCAAATGCCCATTGGATGAACGGCTGTCATGGTATCATGGGAATTCCTGAGCCCCCATCCCTGGATTTCCCCTCTCTGTGTACCTCATACCATATGCTCCTCCCCTCTGCTGCTGAGATGGTTGTAGCCTCAGTGGGTTTTTCAGCAGAATGGGGGTAACTACCTACTTGCTCATCAGCCCCCACATGACTAAAGTCAGATTTTGGGGCACTCAACTTGGATGGAGGCAGGTGCTGAGTCCAGATAAGCAGGTGGCATCTCTCAGAGGCTAAGTTCCAGCACTCTTCTGTTTGGAGGACAGGCTGAGTGTGTAAGGACTGTCTATTCCACCTGGCTTGCTTCTACCCATCACCTGGTTCTTAGCTTAAATGCCACCCCCTCCAGGAAACCTTTTCTTACCACCACTCTTCCTCTACCCTGGGCTGGGTCATGTGCCTCCTGTGTTCCCACATAAGACGGGAGATGAGGGGGGTCTCATATGACCCCACAGTGAGGTGGCCCTGCAGCTCCAGTTGGCTCTGTCCCATCCCACTTGGAGATGCATGCCAGAGGCACCTTGTGCTGGTCCTATGGCCAGCTGTGGTTTTCTCCTCCTCCAATGGATCGCTACCCCACCCCCGCACCTCCCGCAGGCAGAGGGTGGGAGCAGGTAGGGACAATGGGCCCTGTGTCTGTGTTAGCCAGGTCACAGCCCTGCAGGGGCGGGGTGGGGTGTTTTTGTCACCACCCATGGAGCCCATGACCTTTTAAGTACAAAAGGGGGGCAGCAGCTGAGGGGCTACCCTGTTGCTTGTGGAAAATCCCTCCCCCTCCAGCCTGGTCTTCGAGGCCACTGGCAGCCTGTTCTTCAAGGGAGTCAGTGAGGATAAGTGTAGGGGCAGGGGAGTGGCTCTACAGCCCCCAGTGCCCCAGGCCCACTGGCCCTGAGCCTCTCCTGGAGAACTGAACGCAGCTGAGCTTCAAATTTCAAAGCTCAGGGCCCCTGTCCTGTCTATCCTGGCACTGCCACCTCTGAGGGAAGCTGGGCATACACATGAGCTGGGGGCCTGCACTATGCTGCTCCCTTCCGCCTGGCTCAGGTCAAACCTGGCCCCCTCTTGCCCACGCCACTAGGGCCTCAGGTCAATGGGGCCAACAGAGCAAGCTTCTGAGACACAGAAGTGGCATTAATACCTGCAAGAATATCTGAGATGCTCGACAAAGGAAACCAAGAGTCTCTCTGTGGCCCTGCCCCACCACCCCATCCTTGGCCTCTGCCCTTCTACTCCTCTCACCTCGCTCTCCCTTCCCCTGGACCCTTCTGTTCTCTGAACCTGTGGTGCACAGTGTCAGCTCTGAGCCTTTGTATGTGCTTCCTAAGCACATTTCCTCTCCCCACGCCTATTTGCCTGCCTTATTCTTCCTAGGCCTCCAGGTCTTGGCTTGGATACCCCTCCAGGAAGCCCTCTCTCACCCCTTGACTGGGTCATGTGCCTACTCTGGGCTCCTTTGGCCCCTGGCTGCCCCTATCCCAGAACTTTTAAGGGCCTCTCCCCTGCCAAAATGGGCACTCCCTGGCATGTGGTAAGCATCTGGCCTCAGGGATGTAGGCCAAGGCAGGGTAGGGAACAAATGTTAGAGCAAGATGGGAACTGGGGTAGATGGTGAGGGAGGAGCCAGGGCAGATCCTTCTCTCTGATTCAGTGAAGCCTCATCTCCCTGCTCTGATCCTTTCCTTCCATGTCGAGAGAGTGGATGAAAGTAGGCTCAGGAAGCCAGGGGCCCACATTCAGGGTCCCATATTTCTGGCTCCATCAAAGACCAGCACAGAGTCTCCACCTTGCCCAAACTCTGTGGCCTAGAGACGTTGAGCTGGTTCTGTGGCCCAGAGATATCTTGCCCTCTTGGCTACTCTTCATGCCCATGGCAAAACGAGGCCCTAGAACTGCCTGGCCCCGTCACTGTCCTTGAGGCAGGACCATAGCCATGACTCCTGCCATACACAGAAAGGTGACTGAGCAGACAGGCCTGCAGCCTGAGATCTGCTAGGTGCAATCACAGGATGGCCAGGAGAGAGCTTCAGCCTTTGATAGGGCTAGGATGAGACAGAGGAGTGTCCCATAGCCTGAGGTCCCTCCACAGGCTGAGGTTGCCACCCCCTACACCCCCACCAAGCCTGGGGACTTCTTCCTCATCTGGCATCACTGAGCACCACAGTGAACTCCAGCTGGGTGGATAATAACCCTGAACCAAGGCCTAGCCCAGCCCCTGCCTATCATAGGCCCATTTGTCCAGAATCCAGGACTGACTGGAGTAGAGACAGAGCCCCCAGCAGGTGCTCATCATTCCAAGAAACACAGGATTGGGTATAGGCATGGCCCAGAGAAATCTTCTGTTTCAGTCTCTGTCCTGGGCATCTGAGAGCCACAATGAGGACACCCAGTGCAGGTGAACAAGTGGACCAAGCCTGGCAAGATAAGAATCTGGGCTATCTCTCAGCCAGGTAAGGAGATGTGTATACATACCTGGGCCTCAGGGTCGATGTGGATCCTGTGTGCCTGAGCCTTGCTGTCATCAGGGGCAATGGGCCAGCTCCTGACCTCAGGCCTGTGGCAGGAATTGGGATGGTCAGATACGTCTGCCTACCATGCCCATGAACCAGCACCAAGAGGGGCTGGTCCCAGAGCCATCTAGGACTAGGCCTGGAGCTCTGCAGGAAGAAAGCCACCATCCCAGCACTTTCCCCATACCACAATGGTGACTGTGTGGAAAGGAGTCACAACTCTAGCCTGGAGCAGGGCTGTGTGCCCCTTTCCTCACCAGACCCCATCCCTCTCCATCCAGGAGAGGTTGCAGCAGGCCCCATCCCTCTCCAGCCAGGTTCCTGGAGAGGTTGCAGCAGGACCCCTGCAGCTTCTCCACTCATCCATCCTCCCTGTGGCCTACAGAAGCTCAGCTCAAAGAGGCCCAGCTTAAAGAGGCCCAGCTCACAGCAGGGCAAGCCAGGCCTCACAACTGATCACAGCTGGGAGCCTATCCACTCATCCCTTGGCTATCCATAGCCTCTGGTGGGGCCTGGGGTCAGGCGTCCATTGGCTTGGGGGAGGCAGAATGGAGGCTCTGAGGGGTGCGCCTCCTCTCTTGCTGCTGCTGTCAGCAGAGTCATCACCGATGTCTGCCCAGCCCAGATGGGAAACAGGCCATTAGGAAATTCCTGCTTCACCATAGAAACCAAAAGCCAAACACCACTCAGGAGGGAGAAAAACATCATAAACCTGCTATAAGCAGGGCAGGCAGGCTACGGGCCTGGGGCCCAGCCCTGCCACTCAGTAGCCTGTGAGAAGACAGGCCAGGAGGGAGCATGGGTCCTGGACTGGCAGGTGGGTGTGAAGTGAGGCTGGTTAGACCAAAGGGAAGAATGTTCCCCAACCCTCCCCAAGAGGCCTCCTGGGCCTTCTTGAGGTCTTACCACTGGCCTAGCAGCTCAACCCTGCCTCTCTCCCCTTCTCAGCTGAAGGTTTTAATAATCTGTCTATACTTGTAGTCCAAACTCATTCTGCACTTTCTCACCTCTGCCCATTCCTTAGCCCCTTGAAAGCTACCCCTCTATTCCCTAGCCTTTGGGGGCCCTTGGCATCAAAGCTCTGCTGCCCCAGGGCAACACCAACCTATGGCCTCTGTCTCTAGCCCCTCAGCCAGGCTCCCAATGATTGCCCTAACTCACAGCTCTAACTATGGCCTCCACCAACCCACAACTCTGCTGGGATGAACCTGAAACACCTCGTATGGCTATCTCGCCTTATATTCCCTGAAGTTCTGCCCAAAAGAGCAGTACAAGCCTGAGGTCTGAGGGCCAGAGGGCAGAAAATACCCAGAGCCATGGGGGTGGTCCAAGGCATCAAATCAGATTGAAGGGCTTAGTCATGTGTCAACCCCCATTCCAGGCCTCTACATCAGGCTGGGCAAGTGGCTCCACATGCCCATCTTTAAAATAACAGCCAAAGGGTGGGCTGTATAAGGGCACCTAGGACCACACATGATGGGCAACAGGGACTCCATCAGTGGCCTGAGGGTTGGAGTTGGTGCCAGGAAGGTCCTGGACCTATGGAACATGCCCAGGAAGTATGGGCTCCAGACAAAATAAGCCTAGTGAGGAAGCTGGGCCTTTACTACACTTTTCATTCTGTGGGGAAGTCTGGGGTGATTACAGCCTTCTGTACATGAGATGGCAGGCAGGGAAGCTGGTCTGGGTAGAGCCCTGGGCATGAGAGCACATAGTAGCTCACCCCAGCCAGCTTACCAAGCTTACCATAGGGCCCAAAGTTGGGGAGAGGGTGTCTCTGGGGTTCAGGCATAGGATAGGGAGCAGGATCAGAGGCCTTGTAGGTGGAAACATGTCCAGGAGAAGAAATGTTGGCCCAGAAGGTCAAGGTGGCCCTCATGTCTTGATCCCCCAGAGAATGCATGTGTGAGAGCTGGAGCCAGGGGGCAGAAGATGGACTCAGGTTTTCACTATGACTGAGCAGGCCTGGTACATCATCATCACTCAATGCCCAGATCAAAAGAAAGTCCCCATTTTGGGGTTGAGGAAGTTAAGGGCTCAGAGAGTAAATCACTTGCTGGAGGATGGCATAGTTCTCAAGTGCAGAGCGGGGACTGGAACCAAGTTCTGTGATAGTAGAGAATGTGCTCTCATCTGCTCCATGGTCAGGTTGCATTTGGGGGCTGAAATGCCCAGAGTGGAACAAGTCAGTGGACATGGATGGGCCTGGCTCTATCCCTGCCTGGTCTGGAACAAATGGCCAAGGTAGGAAGGAAGGAAGGAAGGAGGGGGGACCTCGCCCCCCTCCCCCTCACCGCTGACATAATTCTGTCTGGGAATCTCTTGACTCAGGCCCCCTGTGAGCCTCCCCCACTCTACTACTACCAGGGCTGACCTTGTTCAGTCATACAGAGTCAAAGCTGGAGGTGAGTCAGGGCCCAGGAACCCAGCCAAGCAGGAAGGCTTCAGATGCTGCTTGTGGGTAGAGCAGTGCTGACATTTCCCCCCTCCAGTCCATTCTTCAGTCTGGGAGAGAGTGATGAATGTGATCCCTTTTTATGGGAAAGGAAACACAGGCTCATAGAGGTCATCTGGTACCTAAGACCTCAGTCTGGATGAGGACCAGCTCTGCTTAACTCCTGGGCCGGGGTGTCCTCACCATATGCCAAGTGGAGCGTACAAGGCCCTGGACTTGCAGCTGGGCCCACTCAGTGCAGAGAGCACAGCCAGGGGTCCTGACATCAACCCAGACCTGGACATGGGCCAGGCACAAATGGGAGCTACCTCAGAAGCCTTCCCACTAGGTTTAATGGCTCCGAGCCAGTGGATCCCCTCCTGCCCTGCCAGCTCTAGGGCATGGTTAGCCGTGCTGTGGTTTGGGGAGGGTTAGCCCACACACTTCCACAAGGGATTGTGGAAAGTCCCTGTTAGCAGTGAATATGGAAGAGCTGAGCAATTGTCTGAATTCTCTGGATCAAGGCAGGGCAGGGAGGCGGGGAGAACCCACTCAGCCAGGTTAGGCCAGTGGCCTGTCAGAGCTGACTAAAAACCCAGGATCTGAGCAGGGCTGGGGAACCCCCAGGTGGACCTTTTATCCTAGGACCATCTATGAGGCGCAGACAGAGCTTGGTGACCCCAAGCCCCATCTTATGGGCTTCATGATGGGCTTCACAGCATTACACAGTTCATGGCAGGAAGCTTCCCCCAAATCCAGATTTAACCAGGGTAGAGGCATGGGATACGGTGGGAACAACTGAGGCAGGGCAGCTGTGGGGCTGGTAAGAGAGGTAGGCAGCCAAGTAGAGGGACTGGAGTCTTTAGGGGTGAGAGAGATCTGAGGTCTAATTTTGCTGCCCTCCTCCCTTGCTATGTGCCCTTAAGCACCCTCTAACCTTTTTGAGCCTCAGTTGTCTCATCTGTAAAGTGGAGACTATTAGGTTTTACCTTTTTAAGTTGGCTTGAGGGTTAAATGAGCTGTTGGACAAGAAACTGCTTTGAAATGGTCATCAAGCCGGTCACTTGGGGGAGAGGAGAGGAGAGGACTGAAATACTCAGGAGGCTACTCAAGGTCTTATTTCAGCTTCCTGAAATATCTGCCATAAGTGCCCCAATGTACTTCTAGCCTTGAGTTAAAAGGGGGCTTCTTCCCTTCTTAAGCTACCCCCAGCTCTCTACAGTACCTGCCAAGCCCCCATGAAAGCACTACTCCTTAGGACTGTGCCTGGATGGGGTGCCCAGCGGCTAAGCAGGGAGGCTGTGTGAAGCCCAGCTCACCCAGGATGCTGGCTGCCCATCACTGCCACCCTATCCCGCACTCTCCCCTCATCATTCCAGCCCCACCTGCACTGTGCATACCTGCTCACGGAGAGTGTGAGGTGATCGTGGCAGCCCTTGATGCGGTTCTGTGCCTCCAGGTGAGTCATGAGCTCTGTGCTCTCACCATTGATGGCCTGGATCAGGTCTCCTGGGCACAGGGCGGCCAGTGCAGCCTTGCTGCCAGCATGGACCTGTGGGCAGGCAGCCAGATGGCTGGGTACAGTCATTATGTGGCTTTGATGAAGAATCTACTCTAGCCCTCCTCTAACCTCAGAACCTGGCCAGTGTGGCCTTGCTGCCAGCGTGATGTGCAGGTGGGCAAAGCCAAGAGGCTGGCTGAGGTCCCTGAGTGGCTTTGCTTCAGCCTCTGCTCTAAGCGTCCTCAACTCCAGCACCTGGAGGCCTGGTGGGGTATAAAAGTATGTGAGAGGGGCTTCCTCTGGACTGGGACAAGTGGGATATCACTCTTGCAGCCTGCATATGTGCCCATGCAAGGGACACACAGACACACAGGAACATATGTGCTAGCAGATCCATAGAGCATGGACATGTCACAAATACCCTACACAGACAATGCTCTACCTAGCCAGCCTGCATAGCAGCCCCTTGACCAAACATTCAAACCCTACCTGTTTGATCTCACCTCTTGTATACACCCTCACATTCACTCCGCCCTCCCACCTTCTGTCCTGACCATCTAAATGTCGGCCAGTTACTCACAGGCACCACATAACTTTCACCTCCACACTTCTGTACATGCTGTTCCCTCTGCCTGGAGAGGAAGATTCTTTCCTTTGACTCCCAAACTGTATTTACTAGCTTACTACTCCTCATTCTTCAGGTCTCAGTCTAGAGGCCATTTCCTCTGGGAGACTCTCCTTTGGGCTCTTAGTACTCTGTGTGCCCCCATTACCATCTTTGCCTCCCAAAATTGTTGATGCCTCATCACAATTAAAATGGGAAGTCTGAACATCACCTCCCCAGGCAAGTCCAGGATCCTGTAGTCCCAGCTGCCAGCCTGCATTCCAGGGTCACAATTCCACCTCCACTTCCCCTGCATGACAGGCACTCTGGGCTACCCCCAGAGAGTCAAGCAGTGTTCACATCTGGAGACTTACAATGCTGGTCATCTGATGAAGGCCACGTGAGGGGGGTGGGAAAAGACAGAGAGACCTGACTAAGCAACCCAAGGAAATTCAGGCAACAGGGCACCCTTCACCCCGTCTCGGCCCCAACACAGCCATTGGAAATAGACTTGAGGAACCCTCATTCTTACCCAGCCTCTCCAGCCAGTGCCCAGCTGTGGCTCAGGAGCTGCCAGTGACCCTATTCCTATCGGTGGGAGTGGGAGCTCCTGGAAGCCCAGCCAGGCTCCCCAGTAGTGAGTGGACAAAGCTGAGGAACTGGCAGCACCTTGGCTGGAGGCCTGGTGTGGGCACTGCCCAAGCTGACCTGCCCTGAAATAGACTGCCTCAAGGAATGTTCCTCTTCTGAAGGATGACACCCTCACCCAACCAGAAACCATTAATTTTCACTTGTAAGGCGAGAACACCTGCACGAACCTGTCCTCCTGGGGGAGACACCCACTTGGCATCATCCCACCCTCCTCTGCTGGCCCCCTGCCCTTCATGGATACCTGCTCTGTGCCAGGGCCTGGGCTCAACGCTTTACCTGTAACTAGCTCATGGCAACCTCTCAACTACCAGTGAGGCAGAGGCTGTACTCAGCCCTACTTTACAGATGAAGAAAGAGAGGCTTGGGGGGAGGGGGTGCCTTGCCCCGGTCCCCTCACTGGAGAGGAGTCTTCTTCCTCAGGGGGTGGCTAGCTGCAGGATGACTCAGCCAGCATAAGGGGTGCATTCAGGCCCCTGTGGGCGGAGGAAGTTCTTGAAAACAGGGGTGGCTGGGATGCTGCCAGCTCCATTTAGCTAGGGGAGTTCTGGTCAGAGAGGGCATGGGGCCAGGAAACTGTGACTCTCCCAGCTGACTTCACATGTATTGTCTCATTAATATTCAAGGCAAGCCCATTTCTTAGATGAGGAAACTGAGGACTAGAGAAGTACAGAAGGACACTTAATTGATAACTAGCTGAATCAGGATCCCAATCCAGGCCAAGTGATTCCAAATCCAAACTTATGCTCTTAAACACTGTGCTTTTCTGCACAAAGGGAGTGACGGGAGAGAGAGTGTCCCAGGGAAGAGATAGTGTTCCAGGTACAAAGACCACCATGTATAATGGCTCATCTCGGAGAGAGAGTGGAAGGAGGTTTGTGAGGCTGGAGAATCATTAGTTAGGGGACAGTGGAAGAGATGAAGTCAGAGAAAAGGTAGCGACCAGATCTTGCAGGACCTTGGAGGCCCAGGTGAGAAGCTGGCATTTCTCCTGGGTGGTTGAGAACCATGGAGGGTTCTAAGCAGGGAAGTCATAGGACAGAGTTGAATTTAGGCCGATCCCTCTAGCTGCTGAATGCAAGATAAACAGATGAAAGAAAGGAGACGGGAGCAGTGAGGTTAGGTGGGAGACTGGGGCATGAATCAGGCCCCTCACCTATAACAGCTGCATTCCCAGCCCCTGTCCATTCAGCCCAGATGCTGTGATGGGCTTGGAGCCACAGTCACAGTCAGTGCCATATCGTCCTGCACAATCACAGCAAGCTCTAGACAGGCCTGGATTCCTGTCCTTGCTCTTCTTTTTTGGGTATGTTACCTTAACCTCTCTGTGTCTCAGTTTCCCCCTCTATAATTGAGGCCAGAGGGACTCCTTACTTCTAAGGGCTGTTGTGAATACTACCTGAGACAATCAGGGCATGTAAAGCTTCACAGGAGGCTGGGCATACAGTGGTTCTCATTCCAGTAACTGGTTGCTTGGGGGGCTGGTACCAACACCCATTAGGGTAGGGCCTGGCATGTCATGAATGCTCAGCCAAGGCCAGCAATCACTGCAGTTTGTCAGTGGGGAAGAAGCCCTGGCCAATGTTCCTGGGGATCCCTTGATGCTTCATTGGCCGAGATTGCAAGCCCCCAGCCCTGCCAGGCAGCCAGCCTCCTCCCTGTCTGCATGAGGCTGCCCCTCCCTACTGCGTCTCAGGTGGGGAAGGCCTTGGAATCATGGGAGGGGCTGGATCTTGAGCCCCCTTGGTGAGGACACTCCCACTATCATCAGTCCCTGTAGAGCTGCCCTGAGGTACCTGCTAGGCAAGCTCTGACCTGTGCCTCCCCAGCTCTGTAAATCTCCCCAGATCCCATCCAAACCCAGGCTTAGCCATCCTGGCTCCTTGGGCCTGAACTGCTGCCGCGTGACTTTGGGGCACAAGGGGGGCTCTTCCTGGCAAACCATCTCCCAGACTGTCTGCCTGCCTGGGGCCTATATCCTGATCAGCTCCAAACAAGGCCGCTGCTGCTGCTGCTGTGACGTGTGGAGACCTTTCCTCTGCGGGCAGGCGGCCGCGTGGGCAACAGATGTCTCAGCTCCCTGCCGCCTGCGGCCGTCAGCCGCCGCCACTGAGCCTGTCAGCGGCCTCACGCCCAGGGTGCCTGGCCTGCTGGCCGGCCTAGCGCCCCCACCAGCCAGCCTCTGAGGACACAGGCACACACACACACACACACACACACACACACACACACACACACACACACACACACACGCCAGCAGGGATCCCTCAGGGAAGCGGGAGATGAAAGTCTCCGGGTGTGTTGAAGGCCCTCCTCACTTGGCCCCAGAGACCTGGCTGTGAGGGCAGATGTGGGAAGCCTCCTAGGACAGCTGGGCCTGCCCGTCACCCTGGCTCCCAGAAATGGGATTCCATGATTCCATGCTCCACCCGGTGCCCACCCCCTCCCAAGAACTGGAAAGAAGTCTCTGAAAGTCCAGCCAGCTTGGCCCAAACTCCATGTCAAGAGGTGGCAGTAGGGTGGGGGAAAGTTGTTCTTAGTTCCCCTGACACAGGCCCCCAAAGACCAGAGCAGCCTGTGTGGGGGCAAGGGATGGCCCTCAGATGGTTCCCTCCAGACTGGGAGTGGCCAAGGACAGGACCTGGGTTCTCTCCTCTTCTGTCCGCTAGACTGGGGTCCCTCAAGGGCAGAGTCTGAGACCCCTCTGCTTCCTTCCAGAAAAGGGGACCCCAAGGCTGGCTAGGATTCCGTCTCTCCGACTAGGCCTGCTCCACAGGGCCTAAGTCCCCTACTCTGCTCCTCTGTTCTCACATTAGCCACCCTTCAGAGTTGTGCCCTCTCTTCTTCCTCCTCTGTCCCGAGACTGGGGGCAAGGCGGGGCTCTGGGAACTGGACTTGAGAAACTGGGCTGAAGCTACCCCGGTCCCCGGCCTTGTGTTGTCTTGCGCGGAGGGGAGTCTCACAACCTTATGGTCAAGGAAGCCAGAAAATTTCCCCTGGTCACTTCCCCTTAGGGTGACTGAGGTGGCAGATGAGAGATTGACCGAAGCCCAGAGTGAGAAGTGGATGGACCTTTCTCTTCTTAGATCCAGACCTCCCTGGGGTCAGTCACCCAGTTCTGACAGCAGGGACCCTTTGTAGGAGAAGGGGGCTGTCGGTCATTTTGCCTCAAATCTTCAGGCAGGGTTGGGTCTGAGGAGAGTTTCTGGTCCTCCGTAGAACTGTCCAGACCCCTGGCCACGTCTGCAGTCATTCCCTGGCCCACAGTGACGCCCCCTAAATGAGGCCAGCGGGGAGGCTGGTGTGTGAACACTCGGGAGGATTCTCCACGGGATTAGGCAGGCAGGCCCAGCGGGAAGGGGAGGGGGAGACGGGAACGGTTCTGCGCCCCCCGGAAGCCCCTCTACGGGTCACCCAGGCCAACCCTCTGCGTTCGAGCCTCGGACACGTCGGGGATCTGGGTCCCGTGCGGACCGCAAGGACCAGGTCTGAGACCCGGGACCGCCCCGCTGCCCCACGGCCGCCGGACTCACCCGTGAGATGGTGAGGGGAGCGCTGAAGTCCCGGCCGCCCACCAAGCGGAAGCCCCAGGGCGAAGGCCCGCGCAGGGTCACGGAGTGGGGCATCGCGGGCCGGAGCCTGACCGGACACTGAGGAGCCGCCGCCGCCGCCGCCGCCTGGACGCCGCGCCCCGCCCCCGGCTGCCCGCCCCGGACCCCCCTCCGCCGGGCCCCCGCCCCCGCGCCCT